CAGCCGAGTGCTCGTGCAGCCTGGGTCTTGCTCTGACGGGTGCAGGGCGGGAGCTGTGCCGGCCTAGCTGGGCTCGGCCATCAGGGCGCGGTGCTGCTCTGCTCCGTGCTCTGCTCTGTCCCGGGGGCGTTTTAAGGGAAGGCCCGCTTCTCCCAGTCTGCGCCTGGCGTGCCAGCCCCGCCACGCACTCCGGCCTGAGCCTTGGTGACTGGGAGAGCACTTGGGTGCTCTTAGTGTGGCTGAGTTTGGTCTCTGCACACGCGAGGGCCTCCGTGTGCCCTGGGAGGAGACCCGAGGGAGCCCCAGGAGCCGGGAAGCCAAGACCACACACAGGGCCCGTCTCTATGCCTCTCACGCCTCTGGTGACCTCAGGGCTCTGGTGCGACCCTCAGCAGCCCCGGGTCTCGTGGAGGGCACGTCCCCAGCCAGGTGCAGCTGTGGGTTTTCAAGCACGGCTTCTGACATGATCTGCGTCATGAGCAAGCCCGCAGGGGCCCGACACCGGGACCCACGGCGCTGCAGACCGGAGTCAGCCTGGACCCTCACCACAAGGGTGTGGTCACAGCAGGTGTTGGGCCGTCCCGGGAGGTGTCCCGGGAGATGGCCCGGGAGCCTTCCCGCCAGCCTGGGCCGCCCGGCTCTCCGGCACCAGGGCAGCCGAGGCGGGCAAGTCGTGGGGAGTCGGACCAAGTTAAAGGGTGTGTCTGCAGTACCGGGGGCGCCAGGCACTCAGCAAGGTCACACTGGGTCTCTGCACGGTGGCCACACGAGCGGTGTGTCAGGATTTCCCGCTGGCTCAGACACGCAGCCCAGCTGCCCTGCTCCCCGCCGGCCACGCCCACCGTCGCGCACACCGCAGGAGCCTGGGGAGCTGGCCCCCCCGCCCTCCCACACTGCCGCTGGGTAGGCTGAGGCCAAGAGATTCTGGCCGTGCCCGGGCACAGGGTCTGCCAGTCGGGTCGGCTGATGCCAGGGCTGTGTCCTCCGGACACCAGCTCAGAGGAAAGGCCAGCCAGAAGGGCCCGTGGGGTCACCCCGGGAGCCTCTGCACTGAGCCTCTACTGGTGCCCCTTACAGGACGCCGGGGGCCCGAGAAGCCCTGCCGTGTTTGGCGCCATTGTCTCCTACGTGGAGCAGTTTTTTGAGACTGTTGGGGTTTCTCTGGCCCCTCGACAGGTACGTGCTTTCCTTTCACATGCACAGTTCTGGGACGATCTGCACGTTGGTACAAGAGCCTTTGGCCTTTAGGATGTCCCTTTTAACAGACAGCTGTAATGCCAGAATAAGTGATCTGCTTAGAAACATCCCTCTCCCGGAAACACACACACTGCACGCTAACGTCCACCGGCTGGACTCTGAACTGGCGCTGCTTCTGCCGCTGGCAGACTCTGGAGCAGAGCCAGAGGTCGGCCCCTCTGGGCAACAGACCTGCCATCAACACGTTTGCTGCTCTTGAAAGACTCTCAAAATATACAGAAAAGGAAGAGAGCTCTTTTTTTTGAGTCGGAATTTCACTCTAGCCCAGGCTGGAGTGCAATGGCACGGCTATCGCAGCCTCCACCTGCTGGGCTCCGGCCATCCTTCTGCCTCAGCTTTCCAAGGAGCCGGAACTATAGGTGTGCACCACCATGCCCGGCTGTTTTTTGACTCATTGTAGAGACGAGGTCTCGTCAAGTTGCCTAGGCCAGTCTCAAACTCCTGGACTCAGGCAGTCCTCTCACCTCGGCCTCCCAAAGTACTGGGACCACAGGCATGAGCTGCTGCACCCAGCTGGAAGGCAACATTTTTTCTGGAACCATCTGAGAGCAAGCTGCTGGCTCTAGGCCTGCCCAGCGCCATGGAGCTCCCTGCAGACAGGCGCCCTGAGGGGTGCATGTCCTGCCTGTTCCCTCCCTGGGGACACACACTGACCACAGAATGGGGGCGGAGGCATCCAGGCTCCCGCACGACTTCCTCTTCCTCCCTCAAAACTAAGGGCAGACACGCATCGCATTCCTGTCGAGGTGGATGAGGTTTCCTGCCTTGTTTGAAGAGTTGAGTCCGTCCACCCTCACTTTTACAATTATTCCACTGACAGGGGCCCCAGGGAGCTGGTCGCATCCCCGGCACGTGCCGTCATTCTCTGGACGTCCTTGCAGAGTTCCCGGCACATGGCATGCCTGGCTGCTGCTGCCTGGCCAGGGGCTGCCACTCTAGGCCAGCTGCCCAGTGCCCAGGGGCCCGCCACATGCCGTGGAGGCCTGCCTGCTGGTCCCAGGCTGCTCTCTGTGCCCATGAGCCAGACGTGCCCCTCTGGCTTTTAACAGAGAAATGTCTTTGTGGTCATTTCCAAATTTCCAAGTTTGGCTCACTTACACGCCTGCCGGTCACCTGGCAGACTTGATTTCCCCTTCCAGGCAGGCCAGGGTGTTAGCCAGTCCTTCACACAAGGTCTCCTGGCCTGAGGTGACCACGTTTCTGCAGCGTGCATGCTCATCTTCAGGGGAGGCTCTCCAGACCCGCCATGGTGGGGAAAGGGGTCGTGGCTAAGTCGCATCTGGCCCTTGCCCTGCTTCCAGCCCCTGGGCTGACGTCGGGCTGACTCGGGCTCAGTTTGGAGCCACGAAGGTCGTCGCTCACAGAAATAAGCAGCAGCTGTGGGTGTCTGAGGCTTGAGCAGTTGGACCTCAAAGTTGTAAGCTGTCGGTCTGTTTCTTTTTCGCCACACAAGCACGCAACAAATAGGACACGGCGCCCTTCCTAGCTGCCACCGGGATCCCTTCTCCTTGGTGGGAGGACGACAGCACGGGGTGGCGGGGAAGGACTTCTGTCCCGGTCCTCGTTTGCCTGGGGCCCAGCGGGCCCTGAAGCTGAACTCGGACTGTTCGGGTGAAGTGCCGCGTGTGTGCCCGTGTGGACGTGGCGCGAGCCCCAAGGGGTGTCTGTGGTGTCAACGTGTGGCCGGACTGTGTGCACACAGGGACAGGCAGGGAGCCTGGTGGGACGTGTCTGCGTTCTCAACGCCTGCTGAGCCCTTGTGTGTGCATGCATGGACACGCGGTGAGCCTGCCAGGACGAGTCCATGGTTCCCGTGTGGGGTTAGACATCACTGTGCACGCATGGACACAGTGAGCCTGCCAGAACACGCCGCGCTCCACGTGTGGATCCAGCGCACACTTGTTTCCGCGCATGCTCAGGGCTGACTCCCAGCTCCCCTCAGTAGGGAGACACCCCTACAGAGCGGATACCGAGTTCACCGTCGCCCTCCTGGCCTCTCCGGTCGTTCCGGAGGCCTCAGTGGGGCCAGGCCGGGGCCCAGGGAGCTCACGTGGAGCCGGGGTGGCACGCACCCCAGCCCCCTGCTGGCGCGAGTGGGTGCCGCCAGGCCATGGTCCTTGCCCGCACCCACGCCCAGGAGGCAGCCCGAGCGAGGGCTGGGGAGGCAGGGCTGCGAGGGCCCGCGGCCCCGAGCCCCACCAGGCGCCTCCCGGCGGTCTCGGG